ATTCAAGAGGCAACAGTTTCAACACCATGTTTTTTTTTTTCTAAGTGCATAGTTAAGAATGCATGACAATAAAAGACAAATGAAATCACCTCTCCACCTAACTCCTTCCAGAGAATGCATGTGTGTGCTCACACAAATATCTTGGTGAGTTATTAGCCTGGAAGTCACTCAAGTCTTAGAACGATCCAATTCTCTTGAAAAGAAGAAGAAAGTAAAGCTGCCAACTTCATGCTTCAAGTGGAACAATAATTCTGAACTAAGAGAGCAGCTTCCAAGTCTTCAGATGGCAAATTATTTATCTGCTGACACAGAACAATGCACACTTTGTAGTTGATGTATGAGGTTCCCTATGTGCACTGCATTAGAAAGGAAGGGGGTGTGGAGTTATACAATTATACTTTTTTATTAATGGGGAAACACCCGCTCCCTCAACAGCTTTAAAATCTATAATTAGCCACAAGGGAATCCAAATGCCTTTGGCAGCCCCTTTTGAGGTGTTTGACTATATTGCTGCTCTGACCAAAGGATGCTGCTGGCAGAAGTTTTCAGAGTCAAAGCTCTGGGATTATCTGCCAGTCCCCAGAACAACTCTGGCAGAGTGTCCCAAAGGACCCCAATCAGTGCACTCCAGTTGCTTTTTAATTTTTTCCATTTTTGTCCCTTTTGTGTTCTCTTATTTCTTTAGCTTTTTATTTTGACTGTAAGTCTTTAATGTGGGGAATCTTGTCTCCACGACTGTCTGTGAAACACCTTTTTACCACTGTGCTGCTGGAAGCATGGCAGAAACATGGTTTGTTTCTCAACAGGGAAGAGACATTTTTGAAAGCCAGTCTTTGTTTTAGGATTGCCAAACCTTGGCCCTGAAGCTGAGGTAACAAGCCAAGACTCTGCCTAAAGGCAACTGCTTTTGGGCTTTCATTGCCTAAAGCCCTCTCTGAGCTGAACTGGGCTCATTTCACCCAGGAACTGTCTGAGCTATCATGACTTTGCAATGTCACCATCATAAAATAAAAGTTATATAATTAGCACTGGTTATTTAGAGCCAAAAAGACTTTGTATCTCCGCACAAAATGTTTGATTCAGCTTTGAATTGCTTTAACCTTTGTTAAAGGTAAGGTTTTCCTGTGGACTGCTTGCATCCTTGTCTGGGGTCAGTGAGTATTGTTGTCTGCAGCATCCTCAGAGCAGGCAGGATGCTGCTGCATGAATTGCCAGTGGCCAGCACTGATACCATCCTTCCATAGAAAGCACCTACTGTGCAGATTCCTCATGGTTTGCAATGCCAGGGTATGAGCCTTAAGAAGTCCTTCGGAGATGTTTAGCAGTGTTAAACAAAATTACCTCCTGATGGGATTGGGTTCACCTACGCAATCGATGGATGTCCTGTCTGGTCATCCCAGTGGTGACATTAGCTGCCCCCTGTGCTGGCTTTGGCCCTGCAGGGACCCAGAGTGGCAAGCCCTGGGGTCAGGGCCAGGGCACCTTGTGCTGCTGATGTCTGTCAGGGAGATCAATATGGGACTTCTGCACCTTTCATTAGAACAATCCTCACGTGCATTTACCATGTGAAAAAAATCCAAGCTCCCATCCAGGGCAGCATGTGTGTCCTGCCAGGTGGCTTGCACGGAGTGGTTCCTGTCTGGATGCATTGCCTCTCTTCCTGGAAACTATGGCTTTTCTGTTTATCCCTCAAGTTGGAAGAGCAGCATGCAAAGACACCCCACAGTACATGGGGGAATGAAAGGAAGATTGAGGCTGTAGACCCCATCTCATTTTCAAGTGTGAATTACCTCAATTTATCTGTTTCCAGAGAACAAAGTGAGGTGTTCTTTAACCAAAATCCTGTGGGCAGGAGGAAGCCGCTGTCAGCTCTTGCAGTGTCATTCAGAGCAGGAGAAAGCTTTGTAGAAGCACAAAACAAACGTGGTTTGGTGTTGGTGGTTTGTTGGTTTTCCCCCCTCCCTGATCTAATGTTAAGACTGGTTCTCATGAACAGTCTGGGGTTTGCTGGTGCTGAGTTGGCAGGACTTTCTTTCCTTAAAAAAGACAGAAGACCAGTTCCAGTTATATTAACCAGGCCGAATGTCAATGAAGTGGATTAAATCCATTCCCTTGAGCTCAGCTCCCTTGGCTATTCTTTTGCTCAGCTCTCTTAGCTGTTCTTTTGTATTGATTATGATTACTGCTGATTACCTTTTTTCTCATAAGGTATTAAAACCCACAATTTTATCAAGAAGTATTAGCTCCAGCAAAGGGAAGAAACACAGATATGAAATGTTACAGTTTTCTGTATTTAGTCAACCAGCTTGATGCAGTAAAAGAGTTTACATCTATGCATTTTCAGAGCCTTTGCTTCCTTGCTTCAGCACTACAAACACCTGCAAAACCTTTGGCAAATATCTAATCAGCACCTTGAATGTGACTGAATGGCAGGACCATTCCCAGACTTTATCACCTTCAGTGGCCTGGCCAGGGATTACCAAAGTTGCTCTTTGCCTTCACTTTCTTTGAGTTTACACAATATTGCTGTTAAGCACATTGCAGAACAGCCTGGTGACTGATGAAATACCTTGCAGAGATGACAGGACACTGCGTAGATCTTCACGCTGCACTCTCCCAGGAGAGAAGTGCGCATTGCAAAGGGCCAAGGTTTGTCAGAAAACTTCTGATTTTTTGACTGACATATGCTACAAAAGATGTTGGGGTCTGATATGTTGAACAAGAAAAACAATGACCTTCAACTGAATTCAGCTTTGCATTCAGAATGGTTTTTCATTTAAACTTTAAAATTTTTATCTTGAGAGCTTTACATCCTGTGCAACTGGGATCCCAGCACAGCAGAGGCATTTTGTGGTGCATGCTCAGAGTAACAATCAGAGCACTAAGCCCAAGACACAAGTGGAGGGCATTTGGTTTGCTGGCACCATGGAAGACCTCCTGTCTCTGTAGAGCTCTGTACAGACAGGGCTTGTTTTGTCAAAATGGAGGTTTTGGCACACGCCCATGCTCGTGCTGTGCTGGTAGGACCAGCTCTGCTGCAGGCTCTCAGCAGGAGCAGTGTATGCAGGAGCTCAGCTCAACACTGGCTCCGTGGCATTCTGCATTGTACTGCTTCTTACCCCCTGCCTCACCTGGGCCCTTTTGAACGTGCTAATGTGAGGAAAGCAGCATTTTGCCTCCTTGGAGATATGTGTTTTTGGGACTAAGAAGGGCAATTCCTCAGGAGCAGGAGTTTGTACAAATGGCTGAGGTGCTTTTCTGCTTGTGTGCCAACCTTGTCCAGCTGGTGACATTTCCACACACGGAAAGTGGGCACAGAAGTAGCTGAACCTGATATTGTGTTTGTTCTACCATTGCTGCAGGTCACTGTTTTATAAACACTTCAGCTCTATGAGAAGAGGTTTATTCTCCCAGCTGCAGGTTACTGCATGTTGTAAGATGATCAAGCAGGAGCTTTGCCCTCAGTAAAAGAAAGACAGGGTTACCTAGTTTGGCCAGGCGCTTGTTTCAGTCATTTTTAAAGAGATAGTCTGTATTGCACTTATTTAAAATATGGCTAAATTGTTGGCAACAAAGCAGTTCAGTGCTTGCTGCATATATAAAATAGCACAGGTTATTCCATGATGTGCACCTTAAGCTGCCATATTTTATATTCAAGTGGTATGAGCATGTAGGTACCAACTCCTAAGAAGTGAGAGAGTCTGAAAGGGAAAGATTTTCTCCTTGCCTTACATGCTTTCCTTCATTGCTTCCCTTTTCACTAATCTCAGTCATTCCCTGATGTCTTTGCTGCCAGCTTCCTCTGTGCCAAAAAGTAGGGATGCAGAGGGAGCAATGCAGCCCTGTGGCCACCAAAGCAGTGACTGCACCTGACAGCATGGCTCTGCTGGGAGCAGCATGTGGCTCTCAGCAGACCTGGTACCTCTTCCAGGAGCCATGTGGTGCTGAGTGGAGCTGTTGTAGGTACTGTGGCAATGCCAAGCATTGACAGATCCTGAAAATCCGATTCTGAACTTGGGGATCTGGTAGGAATCTAATTCCCAACCAGCACATGTGTCCAATGCCCTGAGTTTTGGAAATCTCAGCCTCTAACTCTCCTTGGTGTGTGTGTGTCTGTTGTCCCAAGTGAGGCAGTGCCTTGGGACAGCTGACAGGGTTCACTGAACTGGAAACTTGACCCTCAGTAACTCTTTTTGGACCCTGCAACTGCTTAGCAAGTCTTCCATTTTAACCAGTGCACTCATGTGGCACAGTTTTAATCCTTCATTGCTTCTGGAGAACGGTCATTTAAAATGAAATCCTGGCCCCAGAGGAGTTGGTGGGAATTCTGAGCTGCCTTCAGCCAGGCTCCAGCTCTGCCGTCCCCACAAGGGCACTGAGTGAGCAGAGGGGCGTGTGGCAAGCACATTTCTCTCCCTCTCAGGATTTTTCATAGAGGTGCACAGAGAGAAATGAAAGAGAAAACAATTTCTATTTCTGCTCCTTGTTTTTCCTATGTGGAATGTGTTTGGAGAATTGTTTACCTGGAGTGTGTGCTTGGTTGGATTCTGGTGAGGATGGTTTGAGCCTGATGGCCAATTCAATCCAGAGTGGCTGGACTCGAGAGAGAGAGGGTCATGAGTTGTGTTAGAGTCAGAGAAAGTAGTATGTAGTTTTAGTATCCTCCTTTTATATAGTATATGAATGTATTTTAATATAGTTATAATAAAGAAATCATTCAGCCTTCTGAATCGAGTCAGACATCATCATTTCTTCCTGTTGGGTTTGCCTGCATTTACAACAGGGGTGAGCGCGCGCGGGGCCGTGAGTAGTTAGGGGGGGTCAGCAGGAGGAAGTCAGGGCTCTGAGCTGTGCCTGAAGCTGCTGCTGCTGCCAAGGGCCTCCTGCCAAGGAGGGGAATATGCCCTTTCCATGCCCCATGCACACAGTCTCTCCTTGCTCAGCGTCAAGGCCACAACGTACCGAGCGCTGCTGTGAGAAAGCAAAATAGGCAAGTAAACAGCAGCTGCCTTCAGCTCCAAACACGTCTCGGTTGGTTGCTCCTGTTTTCTTGTCAGGGGAGTGGTTCAGCTAAGGGAAAGGTGATTGAACCATTACCAGAGGGAAAAAACACCTATTAAAATTGAAATAATTCCAAATACTGGAAGTGGCTCCTTTATGTGAGCATACCTGTTCGATTTGGCCACTGACCAGTCCTTAGCAATCCTTTTTTTACTCTGCTGTTGACAAATCCAGGTTCAAGAGCTGTAGGGTGATTCCTGACCTGAAGGGAAGCAGAGCTGGAGAAGTGTTCTTGTCTAAACTGGCACACAGGTGAGTTGGGACAAGCAGTAACAGTGATAAGATGTTTGAACCAGCTGCAAGGATCTGGAGGCTGTGAACACTGAAGGATGTTAGAAAGGAAGGGAATGAGATGCTAAAACTGAGCAATGGAAACTGTAGATCTAAATGTCAGGGTATATTTCCTAATAGTGATTTCTGTCAAATTCTTGGATAATCCCAAAGGGAAGTGGTGGAAATCTTGTACATGAAGATGTTTCTCAACTTGGGTTTTGATGAAGGCAGCAGAAAATACATACTTACATAAAAACTCAGTTGAACTAGATAATCTCAGAGTATTTTCCCATTTCTAAAGTGTGATTTATACTATAAACACTGCCAGACCCTGCAAACTAATCTGTTGTACTAAAAGTGACTCAAACACGACTGCTTATATTTTTATACCCCTCATGATGTTAAACATTTGGCTTGCCAGGATGAGTGGGAGTATCCAGGACACACTTTACTGTGAATGGATTTCATGAACTATAATTACTAGGCAATAAATCCATATAAATGGGAAATGTCTCAGGCCTTGTGCTGGATAGTAGGAAAGGACAGGACCTGATTGTTTTGGGGATCACATTTTTGTGTGAACTTGGAAGGAATTAAAACAAAAATGCTGCTTTTGAAGGGCCAGATAGGGCAGGAGCCACAGATGTGTTCTTTACATTAACAGTAAAAAATGTATTTGCACAGCTATTTCTTGGATGGGAGCTCACACAGAGACAGCTGGTTTTAATTAGGCAAACAGATGCAATAACTGTGCAATTACAACTTGATCATGAGCCCATGGAAGGCGAGGGGATCTTTAGCAGTCTGTACTTAAACTGCTTGTGTTGGACAGGATTAGACCTGCAGATGAGAAACCCTGCACTCTCCACAGCAATCCTAGGAAGCTGCTGAGAGTAGGATTCTTTCCCATGGCAGACTCCATTTGTGCACCAGCATTCCTAGTTCTGATTTGGTGGTGGGCACAGGTCTTGGGGAACCACCAACTCATTGGCTCTGCTGTCATTTCTTCCTGTTTTCAATGTGATAAAGGATGGGAGAATATGATTAGTATTCCTGAGCAATTCCCTGGCATCATTTTAGGGGAAAGTGTAGGTGTTTCTTGTATGTTGCTATTCATCATTACAGAAATTATTACCAGTGGTAATTATTATAATGCTTAAAAGGAGTTTTGTATTACTACAAATGGAATTAAAAATATTTTCTTGCTAAAAAGGGATAAAAATACGATTTCAAATAAGGATCTATGACTCTGTGACTGTCTGAGGCACAGATCCCCACAGTACCAAAGAACAACCTGAGCTTATCACCCCACTGAAGGCAAAAGTACTTCTAGTTTTAATGGCAACACAAGGGGTTAAGCCCCTACAATCTGAGACTCATTTGTCAGTGTCTTTAAGTATTATTTTCCTCTCCCTGTTTTTTACAGAAGATGTGCAGGATATCAATTGGTGAGCACATATATGCGCATATCTGTGTGCATGTATCTGTGTGAAAGCATGCACATATACTTACAATTACTTTCCAAAGAAGTGATTATAAGATCCCAGCAGTCCAAACTCTGCATTATCTTATTGTCATCAGCCATTGGGCTGTAGTAGAACAGCAACCTAGCACTGCTGACAAGGACAAATACAAACTCAGCAGAGGAAAGACAGGCACTTGTTCATTCAAGCAATTGTGGAAAACCTCAGCTTTACCTGCCTGTCATAAAAAGCTCCTGCAGGGGGTTCCTGTCCTCCCTGCCACATCCTCAGGTACAGAACAGTGCAGAGCCTGTTCACTCTGTCCAGCAGAATTGAGAGGAAAATCTCCTGAGTCAGAGTCCAGCCCTCAGGCTCTGGGTCTGACCCTGAAAATAGCAGCTCTAGCCCATGTGAGGCTGGGCCTTTTTGCCTCCTCACTCTGGTTAACATCACTGACAGCTCTGTGTAGGAGGGATGCTTCTGGCATGTACAGGAGTGCTCATGAAGCTCTGCTCTGCTGATTAAAACATGTGCAAAACAAACTGTGTCAGGTCCTGCCCTTCCCTTCCTTGGGGAAGTCTGCCCAGCCAGCTGAGACCCTCTGTGAGCTTGTACTAGAGAGAAGAGAGGCTGTGAGCCACTGTCCCATGGCTTGGGAGGCCACTTTATGAAAGATGGACTCTAACTGCTCCTCCTCCAACATGAGTGTGACTAGGTGGCTGTCCCAAAGCTCTCTAATCTGGCAGTGTCTGGCTTGGTTTCTCTGTGTCTTTGTGATGCTGCTGAAGGAAAACCTACAGAATTCTGCCCTCGGGCTGGGCAGGGAGCCTGCCATACAGCTGCATCCCAGGTTGGCCAGGTTCCCTCCTTTCCCCAGCTGGAGCTGACTCTGGGGGGCAATGCTGCCCACATCTGGCTTGCAGGTGTCCCTCTTTCCACCTCCTTCTCCTACCTCCTCTAGCCCAGATCCCCAAATCCCTCCCATGTGTTAGAGAAGGGAATGTGGGGGTGTCCCAGGCCTTTCCTCCAGAGGTGGCTGGCTATTGTTTTGACAGCCTTGCTCACTCTAGTCTTGTCTCCTTCTGCACCCCCAGCTCCACTTCTGCCATGACCAAGACACAGCAGTCTCCTTTTCCCTCCTTTTACTTCTTACTCCTGTTTGAAACTTTCCCCTGAACACAAGTTCTTCCTCCATGGGTGTACTCACAAATTGCATCTGATGTGCTATTCTGGGCAAGGAGAAGGTACCTGGGGAAAGCAGCTGGTTTCACATGCAGCAATCACCAGACTCCATATTTGCTTAATTCTCTGCCACAAGATTTTGGGTAGATCCTTAACCTTCATTCCAACCTTTGTGATGGCAATAATTTGCAGTCCACTTCAAATTAGAATGGGAATCCCTTAATTCCTTCCAGAATTCCACCCTTGCTATCCAAACATCCAAAGTTTGAGTTCCATTAGAGATCCTAGACCAACCTTTATGTCGTATTGCTTGAATACTGAGTTTCTTTCTTTGGCTAGTTGCTATTTCATTGCAACTCCTGCTATGACTTTCCCAACACTGTCCTTTTTGTCAGTCTATGTATTTTTCTGGTTGGAACTGTCGATCTCTGGATAAGCAGTATCAAGTATTGCTTTGAATATTGAGCAATTACATGACAAAAAGCTCTTCCACAAAGCCAATGAAATGGTCCCTGGTGCACATACAGATATCAACAGTGCTTTGGTGCTCTGTTCCTTTTTGCTTTGTTAACCCTGGCCCTGTGGGCATTGAGCAATGATCCAGATTGTATCTTGTATCTGTGCTGCACGTACAGTGCATTCTGCTGGCCACTTCTAACCAGCAAGGCAACACAGCACATTTCTGACGCTGAGTATGTTACTTGCAAACACATTTTCATCAATAACATAAATTATCTTATGCTTGAAAACATCCATGGTGCATACATGACTTTTCAGCCAAGAAACAGGCATGCTCACACTAACCTCAATATGGACAATTTGCTTCTCTAAGCAGCTGTGCAGTGTCCTGCATCCTCTCTAGCAACTTTTATCTGCAATTAATTTTTTAATGCTTCTTTCAAATTAATTCTAGGGGATTTGTGGTTTCATTTTATGAAAATAACAATATGTTTTCTTGAGGAGGATTAAGAGAATGGTAAGAAAAAGAGCTGTCTGATGGCGAAGGGCTCACACTCTCGTGCAGAAAAGATGTTTTCAGTATCGTGCAATGGGCTTTATTTTTACTTCTGATGGCATCTCTGGGGCTTTGTTGGCTACATGACAGCAACAGATGAACAGTGTGTTACTCATCAAAAGCTACCTGGCACGACTAGCTAAAAAAAGAATAGAGCAGTGAACAAATACAGCAGAGAGGGAAGTGATGACAGCAGCCACATTTCAAATAAGATCATCTTTGTCTCAATGGTGTTTTGATGAAGAAAGATTAAATGATGTGCTGGAATGAGTGCAGTATGACTAATGAGAGGATTCACAGTTATAAGTGATAGGAGAGAAAAGTATCAGAAAGGACATAAACCATCAGGCATCCACACACTGGTGGATTGTTGGGAAAAAATTTGCTGATTGGCCAAAGATATTGCTGTTGGCTGTTTTTTTTTAATCTTCCTTTGAGATGTTTTAGCCCATTAGAAAAATCTCCAGAGGATCCAGAGATGAAAATCTGTGACCAGAATTGTTTTGCAGCAGATAGAGGCTATGACTGCATGACCAAAATAAATTGGGGCTGATTTCTGGCTTGTCCCAGTAAGAACCCAGCTGCCCACTATGACACTGCAGAGGGTAGAAGGCATCTTCCCATGTTCCAAGGAAGCACACTTCCAAGGGGGCAGTTTGCAGGATGGCAGTCACAGGGAGTTGTTTGTGTAGCTGTACTTGGACGGGAGGGAACAACAGGAATGTCATAACCTCTCTGGTTTTCCAGGGGAGCTGAATTTTTCAATTATGTGATTAGTATTAACATTATATTTCAAGTCTAAGCATATTTCCTCGTGAATTTGCCACTATTTATTAGGCCTCTTAAGATAGATATAAATTGTATTAGTGACATTTATAATTAGCTCTATTTTTACAGAAAGTAAAACTGCAGCAGAAAAATGGCCTGGCAGGTGCTTTGCTCAGGGCTAGAACAAAATGAGTCCCCAGCAGCTGCCTAAGCAAGAAGCTTTATTGCCAGAGTCCTTGAGATGGTGGAGGCTTTTTCTTCCCAGTAGTTTCAGAATTACATCTCTCCACTATTTTGCTCTTGGTGTTTCCTTGGCTAAAGCAAAGTATCACAATGGAGAGGACTGAGAAAAGATTCTGGATGGCTGCTCCACAAGCAGTATAAGCAGTTTTGTTACACAAAGCTGCTCAGATAAATACTCAGAGGTCATTGCCCACCTGACCAGAAGAGCTCAGCCCATTTCAGTTGGATATGGCAGCACTGGCCATAGGCTCTCTCCTTACTCTGTGCAGGACAGGCACAATTCTCTTGGCATTGCAAGGCCTTGGAGAGCCCACAGCAGAAGGAAGATGGAGACAGCACCTGGCAGCTCAAACCAAGCCCTAACACCAATCCTGAAGTGACCACACACAAAACAAACCACCTTTCCTTTCTGGCAGAGATTTTGGTCAATGATCCTGATGGCATTTGACAAATTTCAAAGGATTCAAATAGCAGGAAAAGTGCAAAGGATTCAAATAGCAGGAAAAATGCTGCAAGAGAGGGAAGAGGTCTCTGCGTTTGTCAGTTAAGTTGTTGCATTTCAAGACTTATCCAAAATCTAATGGATCAATGGGAATCCTTCCAATAACATCTGCTGGGATTTTATAAGGCTTTAATTAATGGTCTGGATGCTGTGATTGTGAGTGTTCTTCTCACAGTACCTCTCAGAGCTATGCCTCCAAAACAGACTTGAGCAAACAGGGCTTCCCAATCAACATTTTACAAATGGGAAGAAATTAACTCATTTGGGAAGTCCTTGATAACAAATATTTGTGTCCAACTGTCTGAAAGTTGCCTATTATAAATGGAAGGTGAAGAAGCCATTTTTGACCCTGTTTATGACTGAGTTCCAGATGTTTTAGGTTTAAGGCTAGTTAGTTTTTTGATAAGTGGTAAATATTTAATATTAGGAATAAAATTGTCTTAGAAATAAGGAGCTCCTAGTAGTTAATGTGAATGCTTGGCACAGGACTTCAAACTGCATCTGACTTGGAGGAGAAAGAACATGCTCTAGTGTAAAGCTTCAACTTCTCCTGCAGTTCTCATTTTCCCTTGAGGTGTACCAGTTCAGCTGCTACCCTGATTCCTCAAGTTTCTTTTTTCTCCTTGTGCATTTTGAGGAATCTGTGCCCTCTCTTTTTCAACCACACTGCTTATTTGCTGAAAAAATTCTGTTTGCCCACCCCATGTCTCTTCTCCTGCAGCCACAGACACATTCCTTAAATACCAGGCAGGCTTTTGGTAACCAACTAGTCAAGAGAGACTGATATTGAGTGGTAACTTGTGGGTGCTCATATACCTGCTTGCACCCACAAATAAGACCCTGCAATCTCAGCCTTATGTTAGAAAACATCTGGGTTTTAAAGCACAGAGCTGCAGACACAAAGCTGTGGTTGGGACTGGGCTGAAAGAGCAGTGCCTGTCCTGGAGAATGTCACTTTGTTTATGACTGACTCTCTGTGCTCGCAGTGATGTGTGAGAAAAAATGGTAGCATGTACTCTGTAGGAGTGTGTGTATATGTGTGTGTACACTCAGAGACAGGCACATTTACAAACAAACCACAGAACACATTGCAATGCTTGAAAACACTCCAGTGTGTCTATGGACATCTTGTTCTCTCCTTCTGTCCTTGAGGTATCAGGTTTCCTTGTTTACAGTCTGCCTCATTCAGGATCTGGAATTCCTGAAGAGCAGCAAAACCCTTTCATGTGACTGAGGACTGACTTCCAGGAAAAGCGGAAGGGGTTCTAGGAAAGGTCAGTTCTCACGTTTTCAGTTGTTTTCTTCAAGGATACAGGATGGAAGAGATGAAGTCAACATTAAGTCCCTGATCCTTTGTCTCTCTGTTGAGCCTGGAATGAGATCTAAAGGAAAATCCAGTGCTTGATGCAGAGATCTTTCTCCCCCTCTTTAAAGGTGTACTGACATGGGGCATTTCACACAGGAGGGGGATTTCTGTCTCTAGGATGTCAGTCCTCCCAATGGCTTCCTTATCTTCTGAAGTGTTGTTTTAGCATGTGCTATCACAAGTGGTCATGACCCTGCTTGTGACACAAACAAGAACATGGGACAGATCCAGGCTACATGTAGGGAGAACTACATTAACGTAGTAACAAAGAACAAATAAAGAGGAAACTGCAAACAAAACCAACAGCCCCAAGGTCACATGTTCCAAAAGCATCAATGAGAGCATTCCTAAGTCCTGAGCTTGTCTTGTTGGGCAAGAGCAGGACTAGTGAACATTGATTATATAGGCTTATCTAGATGAATGGCACCTGGGTCTCTGGCCTGGGCTACAGCTTTGAGGACCCTGCACTATAACATGGCTGTAGGGCCTCTCCTGGCTGTGCCCCACAGGTCCCAGGACATGAGAATCCTTCTCTTTGTGGTGGGACATGCCTGACTCACTGCAGTGTGTCAGAGTTTGTCCTGGTGAGACTTGGGCCATGGGTCTCTGTGCTAGCAGAAGGCTGATGTGCTGCCAGGCTGCAATTCCATGGCAGCCTGAATCAAGAGATCTGACTTTTTCTTTTTTCTGCCCGAGATCTCATGTGGTCTGCTATCGGCTTGGAGCCAAGCTGGTGGATCAATGAAAGCTATGACACTGTACAGATTTGTTTTTCAGTGGCATTGATGAGCCAGTGTTGCAAGATCCTCAGCTCAGACTCGGAGTCTGGCTAACGGGCGGTTGTGAAACTTCCAAAGGCGACGAGGGGGAAAAAGCAAAAAGGCAAAAAACCGCTCTCCCCTGTGTTGCAACTCAAACTGCAATCAGAGGCAAACAATAATTGCCTCTTTGGACACTCAGATTCATTTGAGTTGGGTCCACAGAAAGTAATTTCTATATATATCAGCTAGATGTCTGACCTGAGGGTTAAACCAAAAAATATGCTTGCAGAAAAGTTGTGAATGCCAAATTCTGGCATGACAGTCCAAGTTCTGCCTTTGACTAATGTGGATTGTCTCAAAATTGTGAGCATGTTGAGCAATTATTCAGGGGAATGAGAAGATCTTCCCCATTCTGAAGAACCTCTATAAGATAAAACACCAGCAATAAGAACCAGAAATGGAAATACTTGGTTAAAGAACAACACTGTAATGAAGATATTTTTTACTGTGAAATAGATCCTGAGACTGCTCTGGTGCTTCAAAGCATTCTTCCTCATCTTCTTGGGCAGCTTTTATTTTAGTTTCTCTGTGCCATTGATAAATGAGAGCACTCCATTGCCCTCTGTCAGTGTTTCAGCTGCTTGCTTTGACTCAAAGTGTGGGCTACTGACTGAAACACAAAGGTACAGTGTCTGACTAGGTCTGATTCCCACCCTGAAGCATCTCTGGCATTAGTGTCACTTCAACACCTGAACATGACACAAAATCAGAAATGTCCTAAGGAGTATTCTGAGATGTTGATTGATTATGGCAGAGCAGAGGATCCCCCCAGTCCTGGGCTGTGAAGAGATGAACAGTCGGGACATTCAGGCAGTCCCTACCTCAATACACCTGTCAAAAGCTGAGGAGGACTTCCTCTAAACACTCAAAATTCAGAGAAGGAGGCCAAAAGACAAGAATCAACACAATTTGCACCTGGGAGTTGAGGAAACAACAGAAAATGTCTCAGAAATTCTACTCCATCTCTTTCTCCTTTGAAGAATGGATTCACAATGTGAATTCAGGTTCCCAGAAATCCCCACAATATAGGCCAGAAAAGAATTGTTCTAATCCCCTCCCATCTAAAGTAATTTAATTTCTCAGTACTGTGAAATGTCCATACAAACATTTAAAATTTTTTAGTTCTTTTAACTGTTGACTACCTGCAGGATCATGTCATGCATACCATTGCTATATGGACATTCTTTCTTAGAGGAATTTTCATTTAATTTAACTGAGATAAATTGCAAGAGGAAATGCTTATTAATGATAGCTCCACCCAAGAGAAGCCTCGTGAAGATTTTTTTATTAGGATGATTGTGACAGCAGCAGGATTGTGCCATGCTGGGATGACCTAATGAACACCACTACTCACTCTGGAATTGCCACTGTGGGACAGTGGTGAAATGTAGCACAGAGCAGACTTCTGATTCACCTTCCCCTGCCTCAGTGGGCCTGACCTCAGTGACCTTTCCAAGGAGGAGCTAAGCTGGTCCCTCACCTAAATCTGGAAAATCAGGTGTAAGAGCAGTCCAGAACCCTTGATACCTTTTGATCCAGTAAATAATGCAGTTGCATATGTAATGTATCAACCACTGAGAGCAGTGCTTAACACCTCAAAAAACTACCAAAAAATTGTAGTTTTCAATTTTTCCTTAAGTACCTTGTTTATCAGACTTACGTATTTGTAACTGATGCTACATTGGACTCTAAATATCAAAACTAAAGCCAAGGAAAAGCGACTCAACACATTCATCAGTGCTAAGCTGACTGACCCTGCACCAGTTAGGGCAGGAGTCTGATCCCTTTGTACTTCAGATACTGCTTTGAACCATAAAATGAAATGGGGTCACATAGATAGTGAGGTGCAGAGTAAAGGTGTCACAGTCTGGCACGTGTCTGCAGGGAAGTCCTCCAGAGGGAGGGTGAAGTGTTAATAGTTCCTTTGAGGTTTTATTGCTCCTGTTTTACAAAGACTGGTCATATGCTGTTGTTTTGAACTTCTCTCATGTTTTTTCTATTTCCTAGATCTGCCTTTGTGATGGCCACTCCCAGAGCAATCAGCCTGGAGGAAATTCATGTCCGAACTGATGAAGATCAGTTTTATTCTCAGCTTCTCATTGGAAATATGGAAGTTTTTCTCCTATCTGCATTTTTCTCAGGGTGTTCCCAATTAAAGATCTGTGGTTAATTCTGGCTGCTTTGGTGTCAGCTCTTCTATGTCATCAGCACATATCCCCTTACTTCTAGTATAAAAAAAAAAAAAACAAACCAAAAAAACACATGTGAAATGTGCCAGGTTGACATTCTGTTGCCTCATGTACACAGGTCCTGTGTTTAAATTTTGAGCCAGGTGTGATTTCAGTGAACCAGGAAGTTGTGATAAAACCATAGATAGGGACTATAGAAAAACTCATTTAAGCCAAGAGGAGCTGAGTCTGCAGAACCTGGTGCTGTTGATACCATGGACTAATCCTGGTGCTGGGCTTGCTCTATTCAGTGGGTACAATGTTAGGTCAGTGTTAAGCTACTGAGGAAGTCTTGTGTCCACACAGGATGAGTACACAAGTATTATATGTTCCTACATTTCCCATTTGTGTGCAAAAATATTTTGGAACTCTCTTCTACTGGTTAAGAGGAGGATTTTGATGAGTTCAGCCTTTTTTCTCTTTCCCCTTCCTTAAAGAATGGTAATGGAATGATGTTTTAGCTCTGGAAAGAGAACCTTTTAAACTTCCCATGTCAGCTGTAGAGTCTAGCCTGCACAGAGTGAACAGTGTCAGCAAGAGAGGATGAGGTCTGGGGTTATGAAAACAGCCACTCAACACCAATGAGTCCAACAATGGACCTCAGGAAAGCTCTGTGATCCTACAGAGATGGAACTGACGTGCCTTCACACCAAAGCACAGAAGCTGGCAGGGGCAGGAACAGCGTGTTTTTGATGTATGAAGACTCCATATTATGAAAACCTTCCACAAACAAGGAAAAAATAAAGTGTTTCAAAATGTGAGCCCAAAGGAAAAGCGAATTGACGTCTAACAAAAGACTTATTTTCCTCTCCATAGAGATGTATCTGCCACTTATTCGAGCTGGCAAGGCAGCGTCTCAAAAGGCAATTTAACCAAGTTGCTTAAGGCCTTGGCTGGGTGGCTGTAGAAATATAGAGCCTCTTATCTGAATAAGAGCTGGCCACAGCTGTTGCAGATCTTGAAGGAATTATTTCTGTGCCTGTCAAACATCTGCTTTGTAAGCAAACACAGCAGCTGAAGCACTAGTGGTGCACATGACAAGCTGCAGCTCATGGGGCAGAGCCAGCAGGCAGTAAATGGGAACTTTTTTCCCCCTGGCATCAGAAACCTGATTTCCCATGAGTGTCTCAGATGGACAGAGAGGCCCTAAACCCTCTCTGTTATATAGACCTGTGCCTTGTCTTGGGAAAAGAGCCAGTGTGGTCCAAGCACTGATCTCAGTGTCTGGTAAGCTATAAATCACCTACAGCTGTCAGGAACATTTTGACATACAGCCTACAGAACTACATTTATTTGCTTTCTCACCACCCAGGAATCATTCCATATAGACGTGTGTTGATCCAAAAAGGCTGATGCTAAAAATCAGGATGTAAATTGGAGCCCTTTGACATTAAATATCTTCTTCCTCTCCTGTTTTTCCTCCATTAGTCATTCCTATATTCTTCCTCTACAAAACAGTCACAGTGTTAACCAAACCAGCTGCCTTTCTGTATCTCTGCTAATCTTCCCATTGCCAAAATTCCCACACTACACAATAAATACCCTCTGAGAGCCTGGCCACAGGGAATGGGGGATTCCTGTACACTGGGTGACCAGAACACCTTGTGCTCCCCTGTGTGTTTTTAGGCTGCCACCAGTCCCATAAAACCCCCTGATAAATGCCTGTTGCTGTGTTTCTTTGCATGTGTGCAATGTAATCCTGGGTCTGGAACGTGAACCTTCACTCTCCCAAAATGCAGATGCTGTGGGAGAGCCCAGTCCAAACATAAGGACTGGCCACCATACGAGGATACTCATTTTGTGTTTTGTTCACTCAAAACTTTCCTTCTTTGTGCTCTACCAAAACCCACTAGCACTTAAAGAGGAGGATGGTGAATGTGAATAGATGAAAAGCCAGATGAATGAATGTAAAAGGTTGATCTGAGGTCTCTCTTCTCTGTTTTTCCCCTGGCAAACTTCCAAGTGTTCCTGCAGCGTGTTCCTGAGTTGTTTATCCATGTCTTTTTGAAAATATCCTAGTTCAATGTGACACAGCTCCACATTTTCTTTGTATGTATAATCAAATGCAAACAATTAAGATTGCCTAACTGAGCTCTGTGCCAACAGGTAACTGCAGTTCAAAGGGCCTTTTACGCAGTTGACATGTTGGACAGCATTTCCTCCACACCCTTCAAACAAAGTTATGGTGTAATATCTAGTAGAACTTTCCTGTCAAAATCTCCAGTTCTAGGCTGGGCTCTCAGGGTAGCTGCCTGAGCTCCCGGGTTGTGAAGGACACCTCCAGGCTGAGCAGAAAAATCAATGTATGACATTCAGTTTTCAGCTGAAGAGCTGGGAATGGATCCATTTCAGGCTCCACGCAAGTCCACAAAGCTATTGCCAGTTCCCTTGTGTCAGCTGGAAGCTAACAAAGCACTATCACCTTGCAATGAAGACAATCTTATCAAAGACTTCCAACTAATTTCCATTCCGGTTATGTTGCTGCAATTTTTATCTCATTATTCTCAATGACACTGGGCAGAGGAGGTGTAAATATAAAGGAAGATTGTGTTTCTAGTCACAGTTTAACACTATAGGCAGAGAGAGCTGGGTTTTGTTGTAAGCTTTGCCATGGATTTGGGTTGATTAGCATACCTTTGACTCGTGGCTTTTGAACTGCAACGTGGTGTGAGCAGTCACACTTACTGTGAATTTAAAATCATTACTATATTTGAAGTTCTTTTTCTGGAAGATGCAGGTGCGGGTGGCTTGGCTATACTTGTCCTAGGAGAGATGACCTCCAAATATCTGCTCAGACACTATTTCAAAGATTTGCATCGTCCAGTTTGTGCTCATCATTCACGTGGGCAGCTGGGTTTAGCTTAGCTGGGGCTGGAGGTGGTGCTTGGCCAGACTTTGTGAATGGAATCTCAGTCTTCAAAGACAGGAGAGCAGCAGGGAAGGGACTCAGCCAAGGACTGGCTGTGAGATGTGGGGCTTTTCAGCTCCCAAGTTCAAATCCAATGAAGTTAATAGAAATCAGATGGCTTTCTTGCCATCTGGCAGCCACTTGGGAGCTTGTGTGCATTCCATAGGTGAATTTTACTGTTAAGTTCAGTATAAATAACTTCATCAGCTCTAAGGACAAGCTGGGAACGGTGAAGAAAACTGAATAAACTGCATCAACCCAGCGCAGTGGTGTTGTACTTTAAAGGAGTGATGTGTGGGAGGAATAAACTGAGTCTTAGTCTTATAGGTTCCTTTTTTCTTAGTCATATAGATTCCTTTTTTAACAGAGGAGGACAGATTTTACAACACAGAGGTTTCTTCCTGTGAAATTGAGAAGGTCAGAGCTTTTGGTCAGCCCTGTGGTCCTTTCTATGAAACTGATGATTCAGATGCATAAGGGAAACTCACAGCCCTAACCACACATTTTTCTTTGGTTTGAGAAGGCAGGTTGACCTCCCTGTTGGACAACATTTCATTTTTTCTTCATAGAGTAAAGATGGATGTGAACTCCGGGGAGAGGTAGAGGTAGTTTTTACAGGATGGCCAGAGCCGGGTGTAAAATCCTGCATGACTTGTGGCTGTGCAGAGATCCTATAAAATCTGCATTAACAGCGTGCTCTGGCCATTTCGAAGCAATTCAGTGCCTCAGCTGGTGGCCATTTCACAGTAGCCCATGGCTTCTTCTACTGCAAGAATACAAGCCTTGTAATGCCTGAAGTACTCTGCGAATTTGAAAACTTATCCCAAGACAGTTCACTGTTTACCAGGAGGAGAAAGGGACTTCCAAATTCCTGCCCATCCCCTTCCCAGCCCTGGGCAAAGCTGTCATTTCCCCACAGGCTCCAGAGCCTGCTTGTCAAAAGTGCTGAGGGACTGGTGCACTTCTCTCAAGGGGCAGGACCCTGGGAGGAAGGTGATTCCTTTCTAGCAATTTCTCACTTTTCTTCTTCCCTTGTGAGAGCGGAGGGATGGTGGCTGTGGCTGTCTGAAAGCACCCAGGTGCCAAGGGGCAGCAGCTCAGCTTTGGGGCTTTGGGGCTGGGCAGGGGCACTGTGAGCCCTCTGCTCAGCAGAGGAGGGTGGGCTCAGTTTGCAGAGTGCTTACACAGCTGTGGTAAATTGCCTTTACTGCAGGAATGAGCAGCTTGGCTGCTCTGGGGGTGGGAAGCACTGGCCTTGTCCCCTCATCCCAAAAGGCACTGCCTGTGTGGAGCTGGCAGGGCCAGGTGGGGAAGGTCCAGGGCAGCAGGTCAGGAAGGCTCTCTGGACTTTCTGGGTTCATTTATCTCAGTGTCATCTTGCTGGTGCAGACCCTGCTCACAGCATGTGTGTGGGAGCAGCTTCTTTCACCCACTGGGTGTATTTGGAGAGCTGGATCAGGCCAGCTGAACTGGAGCTCCTGGCATGTATTTCTGTGATGTTAGGTTGTTTTTTTTATTATTTGCTTTATTCATCTTAGTTTCCTGTTTGTCTCCACTTACCTGTAAACTTGTAACACCTCTTTTTGTTGTTAACAACAACTCATTTTCCATAGGATAACATGCACATTGTTGTCTGGCTGAAAATGAAGTACCAAGAGGTTATTTGGTACCACTGATGACAAGAGAAAGGCTTGGGTGTCTCAGCACAGCATTGGAGGAGCTCCGTGTTGGGTTTATGAATCTCTTTACATTTCACAGGGGTTATAGAGGCAGAATTTGGCTGATGCAGTTGGCATGGTTCTTCCACATGAAATTTTATGGTTGGGAGAAAATTTCTGGGCATTTTCAGTTGGAACTGCATGTCCCAAGCCAAGGCTGGGGCTTCTGCAGTTGTTGAAAGGAAAAAAGAAAAAATAAAAACAAAACAAACAAACAAAAAACCCAAAACCACCACCACCAACAAAAACAAACAAACAAAACAACAAAAAAACCCCACCCAAAACAGAGCTTTTGCATGACATGAAGCAGTAATTAATGGGAAGTGTCCCAGATTAAAAAAAAAGAAAACAGCACCACCACTACCTCCCAAA